CAGGTGTAACATGTGATTCTGGTTGCCAAGGAACGTTGCCAGAATGCTGAGCTTCATTAAAATAGAACCTACGGCGATGACAGTAGCACGCGACATGCCCTGGAATACCGCAGTTGTAGCAGACTGGCCGGTTATCTGGAGTACGCCAAGAATTAACAGGTGCTCGAGGTAACGAGAAGGGTTAATTTACCGGATAAACTGAAACAGGCGACCTGTAGTAGTTGGTGGCTGGACTGTATGAAGGGAGCGGCGGTTGGGCAGGAGGTCGGCGGACGGCTTCTGCATAAGTCAGCGGTGCAGTACCTGATATTGGGGACGTGGGCGAAGGGAGAGCCTCAGCAACTTGCGTCTGAATAGCACGGCGAAGTGAGTGGTCCAATGCTGTGGGGGTCTCGTCGATGGTGGTCACAAGAGAGAGCTGTCGAGCAACTTCTTCACGGATGCACTGTTGAATTTGAGGCATCAATACGGTGTAGTCGGTGCCACTTCTTTTCCACTCCAAAGCCGAAATATCTGTCGTTTGCGTATTAGCGCGACGTGTAGAAATTCGCTGCTTGCGCAGCTCATCAAAACTTTGACAGAGCTGAATCACGGCCGTGACGGTCTGTGGGTCTTTGGCCACAAGCATATGGAAAGCGTCGTCATCAATGCCTTTCATTATGTGCTTTATTCTGTCAGCCTCAGTCATCCTCGCATCCACTCGCCTACAGAGGCCGATCACATCCTCAATGTAGCTCGTGAAGCTCTCACCGTTTCGCTGAAATCGTCCCCGCAGGCCAAGTTCAGCGCGAAGCTCGTGCATAGCTGGACGACCGAAAAACGAGGTCACGGTCTCCTTGAAAACCGACCAGGTGGGAATGTCGGCTTGGTAGTTGGTAAACCATAGGTTGGCCAAATCTGTCAGATAGAAGATGACGTGAGTCAGCTTCAAAGGGTCATCCCACTTGTTAATTGCGCTGGCACGCTCGTACTCTGCCAGCCAATTCTCGACATCGTGATCTTCAGTGCCGTTGTAGACTAGTGGGTCACCCAGACGAAGTACGTCAGGGCACATGACAGGCGTCGACGTGGAAGAGGCTTGTGGGGGATCAACGCGCTCGGTCATTGCGGAATCAGATGGTAGCTTAAGGCTGCGGAGCTCCAGGATGTTACCCAGCACCTCCACCAAATGCAACGAGCAAGTTCACGTAAAAACACTTGTTATTAATCAAGAAGCGTTAGCCGCAACAAGCTGGTACAGGCAGGAACCCGGCAAGCTCGAGCCACACAGACGTCAACGTCTTCTTTCACGCTGGCACAGAGCTGGCGCCACTATGCTCCAGTACATTACAGACTCTCGGAGAGCCTGCGAGAGCTATCTTGCAGGAGAAATCTCTCCATTGGCTGATAGACTTTTAAAATTCAGCATCAGGAACCGCGATCCTACCCCAAAACGTCTTATATGGACTCCAGGACATCAGCGTCTACGGGGTAACGAGGCTGCACATGCAGCGGCCCGTGTGCTTACTTCCCGGGAAGCTCCCCGTTTCCCTGATAGACCTGAACGTCCCACACCTTTAACACGGTTTTGAGAAATCAGAGAACACTACACTGAGCAACGCCGCTTGTATTCCGCACCAGCGAAAGGACTCTCGAAAACGGAGGAGCGCGCCCTGCGGCGCCTACAGACAAACACGCTGCTCTGTCCAGCCATACTCAAATATTACGACCCAAAAATAAGTGGGCAGTGCCAGTACTGTGGGGAAGTGGCCAACACTTACCATATGGTCTAGGTTTGCCAAATGAACCCAAAATTAACCCCCTTTCCCAACCCCACCAAAAAGGACTTGGAGACGACCCCACTCAATAGCTCCACACTAGAGGAACAGCGAACTCTAGTCCAGCGGGCTTGGGTGGCAGCCTCGACTAATGACGTCCTGGACTAGGGATGTCAACCAGCCCGGTGGGGATAAGGGCTATCTGGCACAGCCAGCATCAATAAAGGTTTTTTCCTCCTCCTCCCTCCCCGTTAAATACGACACTGCTGTTGATAATATTGTCGTTATAGACATTGACGTACATTGAGCTTCCACTCTGACAAATTGTTAATTGATTTTAGTGTCCCTTTAAAGGGGCTTTGCAAGACCTTTTCAAGTAGCCATGGAATGGATTCACTGAAACAGCTTATTGCTTCTAGAATTCACTACAGCAAAAATTTTTTGAATTTTTCAAGTGCGAGCAGGTTACAAAGACTTGTGGCACACTTCAATTACCTTCTCCCTTCTCCAACAAAAGTGCTGAAAGCTAAGCCGGAAGGGATGGCGTGAGGAGAAAATACCCACGTACACCTCATGACCTTGAGTACTTTTTCTCTTTTTGTCTTCTTCGAATAGGCGGCTCATCAGTATGATCGTGAATGATTGTGTGCACAAGCCAGGGCCTTTCACAGCAGTAACGACCGAGCGCACTGTGCTCAAACCAACTAATGGCTGATACAATGGCTGTGACGAGCGATTTTCGAGCTTGTAGCGCCACTTGTCGAAAGAAGGAAAAGCTAATTTTAGACGACTCTGAGAATTTATTGTGAATTCCAAGCCCGTGCCGAGCTATAATATTTGGCTACCATTTTCTCGTGAGTCTTGACTACATATCGGCAGCGTTTTCTGACTATTCCCAAAAAATGATGCAGGGCCTCCAAAGGACCAGTAGAGACGCTCAACTTCTTTTTTCCATTTCCACAAACAAGCTCACCAATTCGTACAACAGAACCCAGTGATCCCATATTCTAAATATTACAGCACTACACACTGCACAGACCCTCCATATCGAAAAACAATTCCTGCCCTTCTTTCCTTCTGACCAATTTCCATTGTATGTGCACTGACACTAACTTGCCAATGGACAACTCGGCGTACCACTGAGCTGATCATTTAGTCCTTGGCCATATAAAACGGTGCCTCAACCCTTTGGAGAGCAGTTTTGGCCACGCAGTTGGCATTTTCATTTGTCTGTGCTACACTATACCATTTTGTAGAGCTCGAGACTATCGGGAGAAACAAAAGCCTCCAAGATGAATATGTGTATTGCTACTTTAGCAATAGGTGAAGAGTGCTTCTCACAATGCACATTTTCCCCGCGCCGCTACGACACGTTTTCCTGTGGGGGGAAGACCTGCTCAGCCATTGGCTGCGTACCAATGACATATCGTTGACGTCATGGCACGTTGCTGAAGTTGGCGGAGTCACGAGGCCACGTAAAAATTTTAAACCAGGTGAAACGAATGGTTCAGCCCTGAAACCTTCTTATTATAGACCTTATTCACAAAACTCTTACAACAGTATGTTCACACAGCAAAAGTTCACATATATTTCTTCATTAGAATTTTGAGACCTTGGGGATGTTTACTGGTCTTTTAACTGTGGGCCCCTGTGTACATACAACAAATAACTTTTTCAAAATTTTCTGACCACATCGTGTCTTTTTGCACAATATGAATGCAAACCTTCACAACAGATTAAGATTGAAAGTTCCACAAAATAATATCTTATGCATGCTCTGCATTTATTTCAGACACTTAAACCACAAGAAAATAATATGCCTGAAAATTGCACTTTCTGTCGTAACCAAGGTGTGAACAAAAAAACTGTTATACACCACGATGGCCTTTTCTTTTCTCTTCAATTACTTTGTCAAACTTTTTTTCTTTGTTAAATGTGATTCATTTTTTTGGGTAGTGCATGTTACAAAGCAAGCAAGTGATCTCCCTTTAGTAATGACATCTTTCATTTCTCTATATACCCCCTTGCCACTTGACAAACATTTTAATCCCTTTATTTACCTTGTGCCAGTCAACCTTGTGCTGTCACAGCACATGAATTTGATGTATTGTGCAACGCAATTCAAGCAAGTATACAGCACACACACTGATAGTGCTCATTCTAATGGCACCCCACAAATGATTTTGCGTCAGCGCTGCTGAGTAAAACTCATTTAATATAACTTTCTTTTTGTTTGAGGCGGGTCAGAGGTAATGCAACAACAAGCGCTTTCACATCAACCGTTTCATCATATTTCCACTTTCAGTAGCTTGTAATCAAGTGAAGTTCGACATATTGGATTGGTGGCACAGCATTATTGCAAATGCGGCCAGCAATTCGTGGTTGGGGTTAAACGTCCCAAAACAACACGAATGCTGACAGACGCTATGATGCAGTGCTGCTCAGGGTAATTTCGCCTGCCCGAATGTCTTCAAATCGATGATGTTTTGCAACTGTTGCAACGATTACTCTTAAGAGTGACACATAATCACACGAGCAGTTTGAACAGTAAAAAGTTAGGTTTGAAGGCAAGGACAGAGGCCGGAAAACACATTAGGTGCCTTGTTAATCGGCCTCAACTTCAATTACGTGCCGCCCGTAGGTTTTCAATTAGCTGCCAGGAAAAACGGTAAGCTGAAGCTACGAAGCTCTCATGCGGTGCTCGTTCGATCACGATTCGCTAATTTGCGCAAGCTGCGAAAGGGAGCCAATCGCGCTGGTCAAACTTGATCGAGGCCCGAAGTGTACGGCGTCATAGCCGCATTACCGTCGGTTCCAAGTTTAAGACTGTTCGTAGTAACTCTACCATCATCACACTGCCTCTCCGAGCCCACAAAACTTCGCACGTGACGTTAGTGCATGCTTTCTGCAAGCCTTTTTCAAACCATCTTTTCCACGGCACAAATCGGCTAGCCACGTGCACAAACTATGGACACTAACCTCGCGCCGTATTAAGCAACCAAGTTTGCGGTGTACAGTCCACTTACTAGGCTCGTCAGACATTTTGGCGTTTTCTACACGGACTTCGAATATGCAACAGCTGTAGGCAACACACGGCTACAGTTCCGACACACCATAACACCAACGTCAGGTCGCCCTACAGAACACGGCACACGCATAGGGCACATGGACGCTTCAGTTCCCCTCCAGGCTCCACTTCTAGTACATCTAGCCAGTAGCAATGCCATGATCTAGATGCTATCATCTAGCCATTATGCTTCCGCTGTTCACGCGAAAGCTTCCCACACCAGAATTTTTTTAAATCCTACTTGAAGCTCGCACACAATCCTGCGGCTCAGCACTTCCACATGTTGTTTTTTTATATTATTTGGTTGTATTTGCGCAAAAGTTACGAATTAGTAATAATAGTTTGTTTTTTCACAGCGTGCATTAATAAACAAACCAGCCAGTAAGAGTAGAACCGTAGCCAAAAACGAACGTCGGTTCGTCTGCTTCACTTGCCGTGGTGACATCAGTCACATGCAACGTTTTTAGACGTTTTTAGAAACGTTGGAGACATGGTCGGTGCACGTAGTGTGTTTACCCAAACGTTGTTGCCATAAACCCTCGCGTCAAGTATTATCTTTTCGTGCGATCAAAATGCAGGGCATCGTCGCTGCAAGGTTTCCTCTGGCCCACGTCTCGACTTTGGCGCGGCGTCACCTGTGGAACAAGAGTGACCACCAGAGACTAATCGTTTGCGAGCCTCTGGCCAGCTCGCGCAAGCTGGTACGACTTCGCGGTGCCGAGAGCCTATCCTTCTTGCAAGGCATGGTCACCAACGACACGCGGCATCTGAGTGCGGCGACGCAGCAGGCGTCCGGAGGCAAACCCCGTCGTTGCATGTACGCGCTTATGCTGAACAGCGTGGGACGCGTCCTCTACGACCTGCTCGTTTACCGGCCAGGGACCGGCGAGGACGAAGTGCTGGTGGAGTGCGACGTGGACGCTCGACAGGGCTTGCTGCGACTGCTCAAACTATACCGGTTGCGCAGAGCCATCGAAATCGAAGCGTGCGACGACCTGGACGTATGGACCGTCTTCCGTCCTTTCTGTGGTGCAGTAGATGAGCCGCCGCCGCCGGCCCCGGATGACTACTGGCCGGACGCGACGAAAGGCCGCTGTGTCGTGCGCGACCCGAGGCTCAGCCTACTGGGGCTTCGAGTGCTAGCGGACGCCGGAGAAGACCTGACGACCTGGGTGCGCGCAGGTGGAGGCGGCGAGGAGGCACCGAGCTACGCGCACCTCCGCATGCAGCTGGGCGTGGGTGAGGGGCTTCGCGAGCTTCCGCCGGCGGCCTGCTTTCCCCTGGAGTGCAACGCGGACTACTTGGGCGGCGTGAGCTTCCATAAGGGCTGCTACGTGGGCCAGGAGCTGACCGCGCGAACGCACCACACGGGCGTGGTGCGCAAGCGCCTCATGCCGGTCGTGATGCTGCGCGAACCGAGCGCGCCGCTGCCGCCCGACGCGGTGGTGCGGGACGCGGCCGGATCAGCGCTGGGCAAGCTCCGCGCGCACCGCGGTACTCTGGGACTGGCGTTGCTGCGCGTCCAGGAGGCCCTAGCCACCGACACGCTGCAGGTGGAGGGCGTGCCACTGAGCGTCGCTAAGCCCGGGTGGTGGCCGCGCCAGGTCGCCAGGCCGACCGCGTAGCGGATGCCCATAGTTCCGCAGGAAAGACAACCGAACACGTTGCGTTTATATAAGCTCGCACTTTGTGGAGTCATGCAGTTAATTATTTCGTGCCTCGAGTGCCCCATTACAATAGCGAGTGACGAGAGGCGCCCCATTAATCACAAATGCAAATAAGCGGCTTCAAGGGGATGGACGTCAACATGTGACCTGTTATAGTGTGACCTGCCCTTCCACACCCCTGTGTGCCTCACAATTGGTTGTCTGCTAGCTGATGCTATCACTGCATCGTTATAGATAATAATTTTATTATTTATTTACACGTACTACAGCACTAATTACACTATGGCAGGAGTATTTATTCAAGAATACACAAAATTATAACAAAACAATTTCCATAATGCAAACGGGTAACATAATAACGTCATGTGAGCATAAAGGTAAAAATATCAGAACATGAAAAAAAAAAACAAATATCATTTACAGACAGATCAGCGTATTTCACACTTGTGCATTATGAATTTCGGCTACAAAACTCTGCGATGGGCATGAACAAACAGAACCAGGTAATGAATTCTGGTCTTCAATGAAACAAGAAAAAAAAACCTGAACTTGAACCTATTGATTCGAGCAGTAAGGCATCAAATTTAGGTTGTGATAGCTTCTCGTTGTCTGTGGGGTGAAGTTTATGTATTCCTTGTTATTTGATTTGATTGATACGTGCGGTTTAATGTCCCAAAACCACCATATGATTATGAGAGACGCCATAGTGGCGGGCTTCGGAAATTTTGACCATTTGGTGTTCTTTAACGTGCACCCAAATCTGAGCACACAGGCCTACAGCACTTACGCCTCCACCGGAAATTCAGCTGCCGCAGACGGGATTCAATCCTGCAACCTGCGAGTCAGCAGCCGAGTATCTTAGCTACTAGAGCACCGTCGCGGGGCTGTTGTTTGACAGAGTTGCAATGTGGGCCTATTGGTGACGCATATGAAAGGATTTTTTGTAGTGCGATGTGAAATACGGAAATAGGAAGGTTTCCTTAGCAAGAATTTATATTGACTCTATTTGGCAACGCGAATGGAGTGAAGTTAATTGCATTGAGAGAGAGTGAGGAATCCTGGTCGTAACAATGACATATAAATCTTACCGCCGCCTTTTCTGGACTGCTTCTAGTTCTTGAATCTTGCACTGCTTATACGGATTCCAGACAGCAGACACTTAGTCAAGTACAGAACGAATTAGCGATTTATACAAAAGGAACTTTGTGTCTTTTGGGGATTTAGACAGAGTGCGAGATAGATAGCCTAGTTTTTTCAATGTTTTGTTACATATATAGTCGATGTGCTTGAACCATGGCATATTGTGTGTAAAAATAACACCAAGGTACTTCTATTCGAAAACGTTACTTACAGGACAGTTATTAAAAGAGCAATCAATAACAAAAGGTGATGTATTACAAAAAAGTGTAAGCGTGGTTTCTTTAAAGTTAATGTTCAATCGCCAAGTTTTGCACCAATTGCAAAACCCACCAAACGACTCCTGCAAGTGGTGTGTTTTGATCACTTCATACAAAACGCAATGGTCGGCATAAAAACGAACTGGAGAGAAGGTATGGGCAGGCAAGTCGTGTACGTAGAGTAAAAGATGTAAAAGGAATTCATGCATGATCAAGACGACCAGGTTATGCATGATGCATAACCTGGTCGTCTTGATCATGCATGAATTCAACTAATTGTGTCGTGCTAAAACCATGTGTAAACCCGTGTTGTCTGTGAGATACAATGGTGCCATATCTACAGAGTTGTCCGTAGACCTGCTGATTTTTTTGGCTATCTACGTATTCCTGGATAAAAAGAAAATTCTGCAGATCTTTACAGAAATTTCACAGGACTTCTACGGAGTCACACAGTCTTTTTTTTTTCACAGCGAAAGCTATTATGAGATCACGGCTCGGGTCACGTGCAGCGCCGTAGTTGTCCACTGCCACATCTAGTGTCCGTAACCAAATTGCACGAAATAAGAAAAAAAACCTAGTACCAAAGACACGGTGGAGCTCGAACCCAGTTCGCTGCCTGTTAGCCCCAGTATTATACCACTGAGCCATGCCAGTGCTTTTTTAGGGTCGAAGCTCTTCATAGCGGCACCCGTTCGTCTCTTGTAGCTGTTGTAGTGTCGAATTCTTTGGTACTCGTGCCTCTTCGAATTCTTTGCGTTGCCCTTTATAGGGGCAACGCAAAGAACTTGAAGAGGCACGGGTACTAGTCTGGTGTCATAGTGTCTTACCTCGGCATTTATCAGTGGTAACACAAAGTGCGCAGCAGGTTTTTGACCCTCCAAGATATAGGAGCTTTAAGGGACATTTGCAGGGTTATTTTCGAGTGCTCTCAAGACTCCGGAAAAAAATTTGTGTATCAAATGAGCAATATTACTAAAATAATGAAGCCATTACATGAAGGAAGGAGGAACATAGCATGCTTGTTCTCGTTGTAGAGCTCTCAAGCCGTCGAATTCATCACTTTTAAGGAGTGCTCGGAAACGACCAATGGAATGTGCTTTAGTGAATCTCGGAGGCAAACATTCTGCCACGGTCATAGAGTTTCCCACAATACTTACTAGAGGGAACTCTGGCGCTAGTGTCTATGGGAGCTGCAACGCACGGCGCTTCAGCGAGCATGGGAATGATGGGTAGTACACACATTTTTCTAGTATTCGTACTTCTGGCCTGCCTTTGGCTCCGTGTGTGTTCGTGTGGCTGGAGCTGTTGTCTTACGAAACAAGTATTAGCAAATATTCAACGGTTGTGCTTCATCATTTTATTTTTCTAGACTTACTTTTCAAATTGGCTTACAAAGTTCAAAAGCATTCAATCTTTCTTTCAAAACAAAACCGAAACACAGCAATAAACGAAGCCGCAAGTACGAAGACTAGGCAAATGTGTGTACTACCCATCATTCCTATGGTCGCTGAACGATCGCAGCGCCAGAGTGCCCTCTAGTTAATTTTGAGAAACTCTATGGCCATGGTGCCCTCTGCCTACAGATTTTTGGCCGTATGCACCGAAAGTACTGCGCCACAAACGGCGAGCACCCCAAACAATAGATTGTATGAAACCCTATGTCCGAAACATTTTCGGTTGTGCATAGCCTCTCAAACCTGTCAGCGCACATTTTCAGAGGCCACAAGTGCGAAAAAACCAGAAAAACCACAGTAGGGAAAAAGCCACCTGAATCCTGGAAGAAACGTCGCGTCAGCCGGAAACAGCACTTGCCGCTAGGAGTGCTCTAGCGATTATGAAAAATGTCCATCATATTTGTGTAATATTTTTGTAAGTGCTTGACTAAAAATGAAGAAAATTATTAAAGTAATTGCTAACACATGCAAATAATTAAATCTATGTAGTTAAATTGATTTTAATGAATGAACAGACTATTCGCGTAATATGTCCGGCCACGAATTTTGTCTTAAGATCGTCTGGCAGCATTGTTGAGATAGTAATTGCTTTGATTTCAAGAAGAGCGTAATATGTTTATGAATGATATCTGTCTAAAATTCAGTAGAGACTGCTTATCGCCAGATTTAAAGAGAAGGGGAACCTCAGCTTCTTCCATGAAGAGGGAACGGTGCCAGAAGACAGATTTATTGAATGTGGTTGTTAAATATATGGATGACCACAAAAAGTAGCGAACTAAGAATGCATTATGTATCTGGTCTGGGTCAATGCATTTTTCTATATTCAATTTTGGGATAAGGCTGAGAATGCCTTCATTCGTTATTTTTATATCACGGATTGGTTCAGAATGAGGAATACCTGTCAGAGAAGGAATGGTGTTGTCAGAAAGAAACACAGACTGTAAATAGTTATTAAAAGCATATATATAGCTGGCGGGTCAGTAATGACATCATCATGTATTTTGAAAGAAGAAGGCGAGTCAGCATGAGGCAAAATCAAACACGACTTTACAAGATCTTCAAAGTAATTTACAAAACATGTTTTATCCTGAGTATCAGAAAGCGCACTAAACGTATCAAACTGAGCAGCCGAAACATCAGTTACAGAAGTATCGTCAGCCCGAGTGAAATCAGGGAAGCTGGTGATGAATGTATAAGGTGATTTGGACGTGGTATAGCAATGGGTTAACAAGACATTTTTATGGTCCGATAATCCAACTATCTCGTAAGACAAGTTGCTGTTAGCTAAATCTGTATGTAAGAAAACTAAATCTAGGATAGCATTGAGCCTAGTTAGACATGAGACGACTTGAGTAAGCCCAAAAAATAGAGAAATATTTAATAATTCATGACATATCGTAGCATCACAACTCGTTACAGTCAGGAAAAGCCAATGGATGCCAAGTTTGCTGGTTTCATGTCCCGAAACCACGATATGATAATGAGAGATCTTGCAGTGGAGGTCCCTGAAAATTCAGACATTCTGGTGTTCTTGAACATCTATCTAAATCCAAGGGACTCGTGGGTAATATGACACAAGGGCTAAAAGAATGAGCAGGGGCAGATGCAGGCAGTGAAACGAAAGTACAAAGCTTGTAAGTGGAGAAGTTTTCTACACTATATAAGTGCACTGCAAGATGCAAGGAGGAGAAGGGTGCAGCTCAGTGTCTCTGAGGGGGTAAGGGAAAAAGCACGGCACTGGGGCTGCATGTCCTGAACAGTGCAACTCAGTGGACCAGCGTAAGGGAGCTCTTACGATGGTGGGTCACACAACATTCTTACCAACTTCATCGGAATGCTGTCAGCAGCCAAACACAATATCCACTAAGCCATCATGGTGTACGCCTCGTAGGAGAAGCAGATGTTTTGTTTCTGGGCATACGACTGTCTCTGCAACTGCAGTCGCAAAACTGAAAAATTGAGTAGCAAGAGACTAATCCAAAAATTTGTCTCACACAAAGTTGCTACAAGGTAATCCAAAGCAGCCTCCTTCCAGCAAACTTGTACAACTGTGGTTAGTTCAGTGAACTGTTCTCAATTGGCTTCACTTTGCTTGAACTCTGAAAACCACATATAAATGAGTGTGCATGCTGAGGTATTGTGTATTACCCAATATTTACATGTGAGAGGGAACATTAAAACCTGTGGTGGGTGCTCTGTACCAGTGATGCAAGGGGAAGAAGACGTGCCAAATCATGCACATTCTTTCCCACTGTGGAGGGTTTTCTTTAAGTCACTTTGAAACAGGCTACCAGAAGACAGCAGATGCAAGAAATGTGTGGCTTTGCACAGAGGTCTCTGTGCAGCATATGACGAACTGGTCTCTGAAAACAGTAAAATGAGACGGCACGTCAATCAAGTGCGTAAACAAACACATAGCATTGATGGAGATATTGTACCACTCACTGCCCATACACATAAGTGCAATCAATAGTGACATAACATGCACATAGAAAATGGCTGGGCTGCTAGTCAAATGACATTTCTTGAAGTAAATGCAGGGACAGCCACCCATGCTGAAATTTTGAATTGCTTCTTGTGATGCATTAGCATAGTCAGAAAATTTTTTTCGGGAGGGGGGTTCAATCATATTTCATTATGATTGTGCATGCATTTGTATGTGTATGTATACACAAGCAAAATGGAAAATTTTCGGAAGGAGTTTGAACTTCTTCAGCCCCCCTCCACCAATGTTACAATGTCATGATTTCAGACGAGACTCCTCTTTTCACCAAGAGTCAAAACAAATGTGGGTGAAAATATTGCTAAGAAATTCGGTATGATGGCATCCCACCACTACCACCACTGTTAAGATTTCCGGTTTGTTGCGACGGTAGCGGTAGCCGAGAGCGGCGAGCAGTCGAAGGGACTTCGCTGAAGCCTTCGCCCAGAGGTGAAATAGGGAGGCAATCGTTGTAAAGACAGCAATAAGTAGGAACGTTTACTATAGCAGGTTATAGTCTGTACAAAGCTGGTCAGCACCACGAAGTCGGCTGGGGCAAAATCTTTAAACATGGGGCCGGCATGGCCTTAAATAACATTTTTGTCCTTTCTCTAAGACCAGTTTGCGGTGCTTGGCGGAGAAGGTGAAGCTTTCCCCGGAACTGCACGGTGGCTCGCCGCCGTCTGCGTGGAAAGTGGTTCTGGGAGGAAGAGAGAGTTCGCCGGAACTGCACTGGTTCTCTAGAGAGAAGCGCTCCCGAATGAGGACCATGCCTGTGGCACAACAATGTTAACTAGGGGTGTGCAAACATTCAAATAACCTATCGAATAGCATGTTGCACATAAAGGAAGAGGAAGGGGCACGAGCAAGAGTCACGGGCGCTGGCTCGCGCAGTTATTCTGTTGACCTTCGATGTAGCCTGACATTTGGGTCTCCTCTTCGCTTTGCACATATCTTTCTAATCGATTTGGTACTTGTATAGAATAGTGCAAATTTAGACTACCAAACATTTTTATTTGTTTGTTTACAATACCTCAAAGGCCCCAGTGAAGGGGTTTACATGAGGGGTGG